GGAGTAACAATAAAAGCCAGGAGCTGTCAAAGGCTACAACAATCTTGCCAAGAACCAGGCAATATCTATCAACTGCACACTCGTGACGACCAATACAACGGGTCAATGCACACCTCGTGTGAACGCGTCAACATGAAATATCAACTGACCATCGACATTGAACCAGGATGATTCTGTGAGTGTGATGAATACACGAACGAAACTAATTATTTCTTCAGTCATCACGCGAGACACGCTTTTCGTCAAGATTACAACGATTAATAATAAAATTGCAGGTAATCCATTAAGAACACTTGACTGGGGTTTTCTAATTTTAGCTGCTTAATCTCCTTTATTGGTGCGAGTGGTTCAAATAAGCTATGATGTAAATGTAATAATCAGTGAATATCAAGGCTGTTTCTCATCGCAAACAGTGCTAGAGCCAGAATTAAATATTTACCACTGAACTATCATTGAACGAGTGAACGAATAACGTGCGCGAAGGCACTGCTAGGAGCAGAGCGTCATAAGAAGCTCTTCGTTGGTGCCACATGCGGTCGATTCGTTCACTCAATAAGCTCTAGCATATTCCATATTAAAGCATAACAAAACATTCAGTCACGGTACGCGTGAGCCTTCACTGCATGTACGTATTTATAGGCAAGATGAGCATCACTTTTTTGCCCCAGCTTTTCAAGTTAATGAAACACGCAGTATTGCGAAGCTTGGACTCAAATGTGACTAGCCTTGGTATAGTGTGTTTGAATAATCGTGGCAACGGAGCCGCCATCGTTAACATAAGTCTTAATCTAATTAAACTGCAGTAGCTTAGGCGGATAGAAAGTATAGACCATCTAAATGATATAGTAAATCTATGTTATGTGCTTGGAGGCGGTAATCTTTAACGACAAATTGATGAAAAGAACATTCAGGATAACACAGTAAAAATAATCAATAATGTTCCGAAAAATCAGTGAATATAATAATTTGTGATCACCATTGGAGAACAGCACAGTCATGATTGGCATGAAAAGAGAGAACCTATGGGAAAATTTAAAGGAACAAGTTACACCTCAGATTCCAAGAAGAAAGATCCCACAACGAAAGATGCAGCGAAAACAAGGACTGATGATATTCTAACAATTAAAAAAAATATAAACTAAAAATTATGCGCCGATTGATCAACAAACACAATAATAATCAAGTAACATTCATTATAACATAGGATGGCAAGGTTTCCTAATTGTCTTGTGGCGGTAAATCAGGGCTTATGTCAGATAAAGAGAATCTCTTAATTACAGCATCACTGCGTGTTGAAATAGGAGGGCACTGATGACGATACATTCTGCGGAACGGCAAAACTGCAGCGCTAAAAACTTTGGAACGTCAATACGCTAGATCTTGGCACTCGGAAAAGCACGCGCGACCTGTCCAGTAATTGGCGAGACTAGAGTCAATCAATAGACGTGTAGAAGCCAATACGTCACTCGCTTCACAGCCAACCTTTCCACTCGTTTGTAATCAATGACAATTATTATACCACAATGCATCTTAATATGCTTCATGCCATTAAATCCAACCAAATCAACCGCGAAACTTTATGGAGTATTTTGGTTTAAAAAACAATGAAAACTTGCATAGTGTGATTGTTTTGCTACAAACATTTGCGGTATAACTGGTATGGATCTAACGAGCTACGTCAGAACTCTGGATAATGAGCGTGCTTTGCGTTGCCATGATACGAGAACCTTCGATCGTATAATAATGGACAGAAATAGAAGGTAATGCGTAGAGAAAATTCTTTCGCTACGGAGCAAAAAACCTGGATCACGAGCAGTTTGTTATGAATGATAAAAGAAACTAAACTAGGAAACAAAAATAAACTAAATCAGTGAAGCAAAAACAACTTACCGCTTTCTCGACCTTTCATCAAAAAAATTGGTGAGAATATTTTTTAAATCAGCGGGTAGGCATAAAATACTGACAATTTATTTTGATTCCTCTGCAAATTATGCGAATCATATATATAGATTCGACCGAATTAAACACAAAAACTGTCGAAATAGATTAAACAAAAGAGCTTTTGTCATTACTGCGGAGTTCAAGATGTTTTCTTGAACTAGAGCACGATTTGTACCAACAATGGCACAAGCATCACAGCGATGTGTGAATAAGACGACAAAAATGCCAATAGCGTGAGTGACGTACGTGACTCACAGCAGTCGAGACCTCATGTCTGACAGCGCCAAGAATATCGCATTTAAATTCCAACCGGAATTCATGAATAATTATTGCAAATTTAGCTCAAATAGTCAATCACGAGTACAGAGAATTGCTTATAGAAATATGATGGGTTTCACTTTTCAGTTACATTTACATCTAAGTTATACTTCCAAATAATTAGATATTGTTAAGTATAATTGAGGTATCAACCCCAAAAATGTTGTACTTACGTTTTGCAACGTTTCAGCTGATACGTCTATGAATCACAAACAAAGTATAAATCCATGTACAAGCCCCATGTAATTTGTCAAGAATCAAGATGCACTATAAGATTTCTTAAATTGTTATAAATGAGAGAAGTATAATAATATATAAATATTAAAGACTGACGAAAATCCAAACTCATGACCAATAATGAAACTTGTCCGTGGTTTCGTTGTGGAACGCGTGACGGAAATGTTGTACGCAACTGCAGGCAAGCACACAATCAAAGAATAATTGTAAATAAGTTAACTACACAGGACACGGAAGCCTACACGTTGACCGGATGCGCTTGAGCTGTCATGCGGAAAAGCTTGAATAAAACCAGCATTCAGAGCCCCTGACAGACATGAAAGCTGCAAGTGAAAAACTTGTAACTCCAGCCACTCGCTATAGACACAAATATAACGCCAGACTAAAAATAGTCAGTGATTGATGTTTCGCAGCTTTTGACGTGAATATGAACTTCGTATACCGGAGTGCATTATTCATAACCCTTGCAACAAAAATTTCACTGGGAGCATCGGCCGTCAAAAATATGCAATTGGAAAAGCTTAATCATCCGATTCCTGCAATAAAGATGATTCGAGCACAAAATTTGCGATAAGATCGTTACCTGACCGTTTCACAATCCCAAGATAATTTTGAATCTATGGAGCACAATCGTAAATATTGCGAGAGTAAAAGAACTACAAGTTCGTGCGGTCTGACGCACACGGTTGCACCCAATAACAATTTAGACACGTCATGCGTGGCTGGGAGAGGCGCAGCAATAATCTCAGACCTTCATAATAACGTAGCAAAAAATGCTTTAAAAGCAGCATGGGGGCTCCTCCTGGCCTTGCGCGGAACTCCTGCGTCTCAAAGGACACACCTCACTAGTAAAATGCACAAGCACATCGAAAAGGCAGCACTCGTTCTGATTCGCTTGTTGTATAATTGAATGTTCGCACGCCTCAGACGATCGATTGGTGGCTATCGGGTTAACTTCAGAACCATAACTTTAATCTAATTTTATTTAAAATTATTTGTGAATGGCTATACTTTAATTTTATTTTCTGTCCTTGTAGAATTTGCACGAAAATTCAAGCGAGTCGTACTTAATATTAGGAAATAATTGATGTATGATGTTAAATTATTCAAAACTGAGTCAACAGAGATCAAAAAGTCTCTCGTACAAATTTAAGAAACACAATTATCCTGCGTTTATCCAACAAAAAGCGTCAACGCGATGCTCGGTTGAGTCCTTGACGCAATCCGAGAGATCGGCGCTCATTTCTACAATAAAATCCTTCGCTCACCGAGGCTCGCAAAATGGACTACGGGTCTCCGAAGAGTCCTGAAAAAGACTCGTCAGCAGCTGCTCCAGGGAGGAACTCAAGGATCTGAGCCGGACCGTCTGGTAGTAAATGCAGTACATATCATCACTTGCTGAACTCAGCTAAACTTGGACAAGACCACTACAATATTTATTTTCGATCCTCGGTATAAAATAATTTCTTTGCCCATAATGTTTTTGCATTCATAATAATGTATGCAACGAGACGCTACGTTGGCGAAGTAATAAAATACATACCTGTAATAGAAAAAAAAAATCGTGTCATGATGCAGATATCGGTATCTTACACACAGCGGTGGCTTTAACCGTGAGAAATGAGACAAGGACTGAGGAGATTGTGTGTCACTTTTAAATGAACATTAAAAATAGATCGATCATTGACGAGATCATACCATCAAATGACTCTTTCCGCACATCCGTGCTGAAAAATAATTGGACGCAACAGACAACACGCGCAAAAAGAAAACAGATTGGTGAACCATGAAGTTGGATAATCTCTTTTCAGATCGGGTCAACTATAACATCAATCTGAAATATTAACCTTAATTGTGACTCATGCTAATTTCTCGTCGTTCATGCATAACTTTCTGAATTAAAAGCGACCAAGCAAGGATAAACAGCCAGTGATGTAGAAATGGGAGCGGATGCCATGAGATGTTGATATTAAGAGCACACACCGTCCCACTGCGTCAATGGGCAGCAGCACGGGAAGGCTGCTTTCGTCCCGGAAGCCTGACTAATCTCAAACCTGAAGCTTCACTTCCTAACCATGGGCGCACTGCGTCACCCATCAATGACAAGAATGTGACCACATATCATCAATCCCTGCCACCTTCCTCACGTCTTTCCAAACATAAAGACAGTGATTGCTGGAAGAGGTTGAAATTTTGTTAAAATATCGATAACGTTATTACATACGTTAAACGTGTGAACACATCAGGTTGTTAAAAAAAAAGCAGCCAAATTGCGCCACCATTTGTTGCAGAAATCATCAGATTCACAAACAGATCTCATTAACTCAGGGATGATAGTAGTAAAATAGAATCCACTCGTTACAGCAAATACCGCAGCCTTTCAATATGAAAATCTTCACAAAACGTTGATATATTATATAATGCACATAAAACTATAGATTACTAGACTACCATTTTAAAATTAATAGCCATAGGCAATTGTTCATACTAACATATATTATTACCTGCATCATCCAAGGGTGAAAAACACGACCTAGTTCCATATCAGGTAGAAGAGGTAGACCTACTAACAAATTGAATATATTGGCATGCAGATACCAAATCAAACTATCGCTCACACCAGAGTCCAGACACGATCAGATTTAGTACTTGATAATGATTATAAAATTATCATCATTGGAAACGTTACGATAATCTGTAGAGTGTTGACACAATACTTTAGATCACAAGCTATAGGCGATAGCAAGGCTAGAAGGTATACAGAGACCAAGCTATAATCATGTGAATGATGCAATACAAACGGGCCTCAATTTTTCTGCAAACTCTACACAGTGGTCGGTCATTGATAAACAACAAATGTTAAAGCGATAGATGAAATGCTGACGCGTTTGTTCGCTGGTGAATCAGATCACGTGTTCCAAAGTTTACCACAACAGCGCGTCTAAGAGTACTACCTCCGCGAGCAACCATTTATTCAGTACTGAGCTCTCTTTCTTCTTGAAGCTCACAACAAAGCTCATTGGTTGGGGAGCGGTGAGTGCGTTCGTATGTGCGTCGTCCATCATTTGCGGGTCCACCACACTCAACTGCTGGTCACAGTACAAAATAGGAGAAGGGAGGGGAGTTTTTCCTGCTGTGAGGAGGGGAGAGCTTCCAGGATACCGCCAACAGGAACCTAGGAGCAAAAAAGGCGCGCGCGACCTGCATATACCATCATCTTCGTCGTCACTACTACTCCGACAGATGTGCGCGTAGCCCCAACGCACGTTAGGGTGATTCAGTAAGTTCATATGCCTAACGGACAACAGAAAATTACATGACGGCTCAAGCCAGATGTCGGATACCGACATCAAAGAAATAATGAGAGATTCAATATTAATAACGCGATGACAGAGCCAAAAAGCGATCATTTAAAACTAATGATGAATATTTGACGGTTGCTACATCGATGGCATTCAGGCCTACCCTTTAGCAGACTAATAATATTATGGGCGACACAAAAACATTAAATTAAGATGGAAAAAGCTTACACGGCAAGATTTCGAAAAAATACACGAAACAACCAACATTCAGTCGTGATGTTTGAACATTCAGCGCTCAACTTTGAAGAACTGAGCAGAGTCAGAGAAGAAAAAGATGCCAATGGCTTATAATGAATTAGACTTGAAATCTGGGCAGAGTAGACCAGTATCAAGGAAGCTCGACTCGAAAACTGTTATCAGAGAGCTTTCTTGACAGAAATTATAAGGACAAAACTGGAAGCGCGCTTATCTAACCAAGTGATTTATGTGTTGTTAGACCGACCATCAGAAAGAAGTTGGTCACACCCAGATGGCCTCACCCACACTTCTAGGGTATATATATGTGTAAACTGTACAAGCCTGGATAACTAGTGTAAGGTGCTACACTCATAGCCCACACATTTCTTGTACAGAAGTGTCCACGCCCGTCATTGTTATGAAGCATAATCCCCTTATCTACAAAATCCAATACACTTACACTCCGGCCAATATTCCTAGCGATGAAAATAAATTTCAGTATGCCTTTATTTTGGGCGTCATCACTATATGATCAAAATGAATTGTCATGAATACCACATCGCCAGCACATAGTGAGCAGGCTATGCATGCTTCAATAATCAATTTCAACCTCAATAAGTATCTAGCTAGCTGACACCAGATAAATTTTAACATGATCAGAAACGAAGGGAAAACCTTGAAAGCTTCTCAGTATGTGCATTAATAACATAGTACAACAATAAAAAATTGAAAAATACCATGTTTAAGCAACTACAGCTCAAATGGTAAAGCTATCGGGAACACTGAGGAGCCAGGATATATCGTCAAAATTAAAGGTGGAATGAAACTTTTGACAGTTCAGCGTAGTCATTGCAAACGATGGCCAAGAAATAAATCTTGAATCTTGCAGATGCAAAGGTAACAGAAACACAAGGCGAGTTTTTCCAAGTGAAGTCAATTCCCAACAAAGCTTTCGAAAGGGCGACAAGAACGCGATGGTGAAACCATGAACCTTGAAGTTCCAACACTTTCGTTTCAAAAGAATGTTCAGACGTCACCGAAGAGTGTGGATGAGCCGAACTATGAAACTCTAAATTTGCTGGTCTAATTGTGATACCCGCAAAAATTATGAAAAAAATTCGAAACGCAATGAAAGAAATAACTCCAGACAGGGCGGTAGTATATTGGCATATACAACTACAACTTCACAATGAGAAAGTCTACAGAACATCGGGAAACAGTTAACTACGTTAGCAAAGCATGCGTAGTGACAATTTAACAAGGTAAACGTTTTCTGTGCACCAACTTGTTCGAAACAATCTCGGCACGTAAAACTTTCCTAACTGTTAAATAACAAACAGTACCACAACCAAGAAGTGTCACGACAAAATATCACCGGGTAAATGTCACTGATGTCACAAAATGAGTTATATTAATGGTACTGGAAAATACAGGTGGTACAGTTACGCAGCAACGTTGTAGGGCGATGGGTCAAATGATCAAGGCCAGCGATAAGCTACATGTGGCACAAGGCTCTCCAGAACATGGCAACACTTCCATCGAGGTCTGAGTACACTCGTTATGGCGAGTCCAAGTTCTGGCGTGCGTATTGCAGCAAGTTAAGCGCACGTTTTCCACGTGAGCGAGTTTGACCGAAAAGTGATTAGGAGCGAAAAAATCATTAGCGCAAATTCGCAAGTCAATTTTACATCACAGCACAAGTTAGAATGCAGTAAATTTGAACGAAGTGAGAACGCAAAAAAATTACTCTGGCTCTAAAAAGTATTAACAATAAACAATATAAAGTTTTGCGTGAATGTTTTGAAATGCAGGAAGCTTCAAGAATTTGAAGGAAAAAACAATACCAAATATCAGCGAGATGGAACTCATAGAGATGCTGTACTGCCAGTACGCTACAGTTACATTTACAATACATTAGAAGAATGACGTTAACAAATTGAAAGATTTCTAATGGCCGCCTAATTTCACGGCGGTGACGATTTCACTGCTGGACAAGCTGCGTATCAAGAAAGTTCAAGTAGCTCCATGGCTGACCAATGAAGAATTTCTCAGACGACAGTTATGTTGAAAGAAATCTACTCTAACAAGAGTAGACAAGCGCGCGCGTTCTTACGATAATGCGAGGCAGGTTGACTGGACTGCCAAACATCAATGCTGAAAATGTATGTTAATGACGGCGCAGAGAACCCAGGTGTTTTCGTCGAGATGTCCCGCTCGAAAGTAGCGCCATAACAATGCCTGGAATGACGTTCCGGTAAAAAAAGAACTATGCCACCGAGGCAGCTACTCTGACAGCTGGAGACCGAGGTGGTTGGTGAAGTGTGGTCACTATATAGAGTAGCCGCACAAAGATACGACAAAAACAATGAACAATGACTGAACTATAAACATTAAATGCAACAAACTGGACGGAATAAATTACAGTTTAATGTAGCACTATTTAATAAGTAAGAAAAAATTTAAAATAGCCTATATACACATTTAAAAAATCTCATTTTGAAGCCAAACGATGCCAACCTAAAGTATTAATATTGCCACAGGCATCAATACTTCAATAGACAACAGTATGAGATGTGAACGCGATCAGGAGACCGCAAGATCACAACAAGGACCCAGCTCAGTGGATGAGGTCAGTGTCACAGCAACAGGTTCCTCTGGACGCAGCCGCTACGAGAGCCGTGCCCTGGTACACGAGTGACCAGGTGTTACGATCTCTGGCAGGCAAGCAGAACAACTTTCAAGGCCAATATCAAGGTGCTCTTGCTTTCATCCCACTGCGTGTGCTTGCAATAGTTATTCGTTGAGGTAGAGATGTAACAAACATTGTATCTCTCATACATTCTTTGAGAGTACGAGATACATAGTGTATCTCATAGCATGAACAGGTCAGCGCGTTTGAGAAACAGCGTAACTTGGACAGATGAAGAAGATACGACAAACACAAAATTATTTTTTAATACGATTAAAATGTTGATTCCTTCAGTGACAATGTTACAATGTTAGAACTTCTATAACCTTACAGGCAGTTTAAAAACAAAGAAAATCTTTTCTTGATTAAATGCTACCAGTGTCAAATATTTGATACGTCAAACAGCTAACACTTACACGTTGCGTACGCTACGTGATCCGAAAGATGATTCATCAACTGCAAAATAGAACTTGAGAAAATGTAACATTCGTTGAGTAGATTTTCAGGTCATCTGATGAATTTTCTCATGAAATAACGTAACTCAAAAAATTATCGAATTCATCACAACGAAAAACAGATAAAGTGGAATAAGCCAGAGCAAGTCGACTTACACAGAAGTCAAATGTCCTCGATAGGTACTTGATACTTGATGCCCTCATGTCGAGGGCATCCGCGACACGAGAATGCCTGTGCTGTCACGTGACACGCCTATGGGATACGTAGCGCTTTGATACGCCGCATCACTATATTTCTCATTGTAAAGGATAGCACTGAATATTGAAGTCGCTCATCACGATACAATCGATTGCAAGTGCCACACAACATCAAAAAGCGGGCTAGGGAATTATTCTTCGTTATGTCCCTTATATAAAATTGTTTGAACATTATTAGCTCTTTGCGAAATGGTTACGAGTATTAATATAAGTAATAGTGCATTCGAAGTTCAGTTTAAAGAAAGTACCATAAACCTCGTGTACAAAATGACTGGCTCCGCACAAGAATTTCTTCAGAAGCAATAGAAGTGAAAACCAAGGAGTGCGCTATGGCTGAAGAAGAGCACCAAAGCAGCAGTCTAGATCGCAACAGGATATCTAATTGCTCAGGACCAGACAAACGAAGACTGAGTAGCAGGAACAAGGGAGCTCTGTTGCCGGCCTGAAGCACGCAGTCTTCAACCTTCGGGAAATGAGTCGGCGAGACCAAGGGCTCTAACTAACATCACTAGTCGAGTTACCTCAAAAAACACTAATATTTTATTCACGTCAATTACTGATTGCACTTATGTGTGAAATGATGAAATGTGCAACGATTAACACGTACTCTGAGAAGCTCTACAAGCTTCTCTAGCATGAGAAGCTCTGACAAACATTGAAAAGATCACAAAACTATCAAACTGCTTCGTAGTATGCTTGTTTGACAGACTATTAAGTAGTACCTACCAGGCAATGACAAAGACATAGCAGGGGCAGGCAATGACAAAATATATAGAATCCCGTCATAATGACTGGAAATCTTATCTAACAGCTACTTAGCATACATAAGCCTGCAGCGGGCAGAGAAAGACGAGTGTTGTAAGATGTTAGGATACGAGTTTCACAAAATGGAATTCAAGACAAAAAGTAATTATTACTGGACATTGCAATGGTGCATATTATTGATATTAATATAACAAGCGCTCAACACTAGCTTGCGTTTCCTTGCCATTGTTCATATCTTTTAAAAATGCATGACCAATGA